TTACTCGGGAAACCAAATTCAACCCCTAATGTTGGATTTACCCATCATGATTTTAAGGAATCATATTAATATGCACCATATATAGAAATAACATTCTCACTTAGGATCCTAACTACCAAAGAATCTCTTAGTCGTGCCACTTTTATTTTTATTTTTTTTAACATTTTTTATCATTCTGATAACAAGTTACCAAAATCAAAATATTTGACTATTTTTAAAAGAGTTAATACCATCTAAGGTCCTCCGAGTATAGTGGTTTTGCCACGTTTAGTCCTAAACTTTCAAATTGACCATTTGTGATCTTTCGACTTTCAAATTTAACCATTCGTGGTCCAAGTTAACCACACATGGTCCTTCAAGTTTCGAAATTTAACCAGTAGTGGTCCTCACCAAAACTATCATTTCAAATTTTGAAGGGTCACAAGTCAAATTTACTTTCATTTGTAATCAATCAGAGGGTTGAAACATTCAAACTTTTCGATGTGTACTTAAAATTTTTTGTTTTTGGATGACGGGAGAAACAAACCGCCACTCTAGTCTGCAATCTCACTCTTGTGTGATAAATCTCGCTCTTATGTAATAGCTTGAACCATAGAGATAAATCACACTAGGAAGATCCTGCACGACGGGTTTAATCAAGAAGATGTGGACAAGAATCAAATTCATAAGATACAAAACTTATTATAGTTTTACTAAATACAAAAAATAATACCTTTACATATATCATTATAAAATCTTTAATACAAGATAGCTTTGTAATTATAAGCAACTCCACATTGAAACGTGCAGTGTCTTTCTATTGGACAGGGGAAAAAACAAAAACAAAAAAGACTTAGTTGTCAACCATGGAAATCTTCATGCTTTTTAAAATTTTCCAATAATTAATAATTGTCACAGAATTGTTGTTTCCTTTAATTGCGATTCTCTTTGGTTTAAGATGAGTTGGATGATGCGATAGAGAGCGCCGCCTAACAAGTTAAAAATGTCCTTGCAATTTCAATCAATGAAAACCACTTAGTTTAATTTGAGTTTTGAATAGAATCTCAATACATAGTTGGTAATCCATCAATCATTCAATTCAGGCAAGGGAATCCTAGATTATCCCAATAACAACAAGACAACTTAATTACATATGTATATGCTCAGCTCGATTCGGGTTTATTAGGACTCATGATTTTTGCTTGAAAGGATTTAAAGATAAAATGATACTGAAATATATAAAAACAAATTCATTGGCTTAGGCTTTTTGTTAGGTAAAAACATTGGCAATAGAAAGAGAAAAAAAAAACTGTTATAAGCTTTTATCGCGCACAATATACGAGTGTGATACTTGCTCAGCGCACACGTTTTACAAAACGATTCACTTTTTTTTTTTTTTCTTTATTTCTCAAAAATTGTGCTCTTTACTCATTTTTGCAAATTTCTCACACAATGAAAAATTCCAATAAAAATTCAAAAAAAAAGTTACCAATGGTGATGTTCTAGTGATTATTATGATTTTATCGATTCTAAAAGTTTATTCAATCATAAATTTCAATTTGACAATCATACATATTCATGAGTCTTTTTCTTCTCTTTTTTATTTTTAGCAAAAATAATGATGTGTTTTTCGTAAGAAATTCGATCATGATGGGTCACTTATCGTGTAAGCAAGATTGTATAATCTATCTAAAACAAGACATGGTGGACTACACGAGTTTCTTGTGAATCAATGACGAAATCATTATTTTGTGCTAAAAAGTAAAGATGATGATTAGGTATAGGCCAATGAGAGCAAAACAAATATTTATGTAGGGCCACATTTGTTAAGAAAAATCAAGAGGTTTGAGAGGAAGTCGTAAATTGAAAATTGTATTTTGTTTGTCGACATCGAGCTTAGCATAGTGGTTCGTTGTCTAACTTAATTTCACAATTGAAGGTAGATGTGTGAATTTGTGTGTGCATGAAAATTAGAGTATAATTAGTGGACTGATTATGCGATTTATGATTTACCTCTACAATGACTCTAAGGGCGAGGTGATGTGAGCTTAGAATTAGTCTGGTAAAATTAGGATCACCCAAGTATAAAATATATTTTGTTTCAAATAAAAGTTAATTATTCACAAAAGTATGCATATTATGTTTTATTCTAAATAGATAATTAACAAGAAAATTAAGTAATTGCAAATAAATTTAGGTGGGAATTTACCCCTAATGAACATGATCTTGGATAGAATGAGTATATAAAATTATAAGTTTTAGTGATGGTTAGAATTATTGATTGTAAGATTAAGAGTTGGAGATGAAAATTTTAAATACTAAACTATTAAATTATTTATTAAAAAAAAATTGTACTTTTGGTCCCTTAAGTATTGTGACACTAACAATGTTGATTCATAACTTTCTAAACTTGTATAATTGGTCCATAACGCAAATGATCTTTTAGGTGAAATCTCTGTCAATCTTTCACCAAAAAAATTATTTCCTCTTTATAGCAGAGGGGGTCTTTTCCTTTTGAGGAGATTTTACCGAAAAGACCATTTGCGCTAAGAAGTTGATACCCATGGACCAATTATGCAAGTTTTGAAAGTTGTGGATCAATATTGTTAGTGCTACAATACTCATGGGATCAAAATTGTGAAATTGGAATTGGACTTTTATTGGAGAAAACTAGGCTGTAAAGGAAAAGATCATTATACCCCTGCTATAAAGGGGAAATAAATTTTCCAGTGAAAAATTGACAGAGATTTCATCGGAAGGACTATTTGTGCTAAGAAATTGATACTTGTGGATCAATTATGCAAATTTTGAAAGTTGTGAATCAACATTGTTAGTGCCACAATACTCGTGGGATCAAAAGTGCTAAAAACTCTTATCCAAAAGATTTGGATAAACTTTAAGGTTGATTGGGGGCGGGGGTTGGGTTTTACCCTAAATGAATTTGGCATTGGACTCGGGTTAGTTTCAAATTCAGTCTCAAGCCTCCATTGAGGTGGATCAAGAATATACCTTTACCGGATAATCTCGATTCAAATTTGAGAGAGATTAAATCTTGAACATTTTTTTTTTTTTATTTTTGCGCCAAATCAATTCAAAAGTGGTCTAATCCAAAAATGTCTCGTTGTCACCTTTAATTTTCATCTTTCTAAAAGGAATTGAATCACGTAGTTAGGAGTTAAAATTTCATAGTCAAATCACATAGATCTGAGTGCGTTGGGCATTGTTTAGTGTTAACTTCTTGTTGGGAGAACACTGTTCATATACACGTTTGTCTGCCTCAGAGTAAACAGCAGCTTAGTTTGAACTTTGAACATTTAGCCCAACCTGCATTTTATTCATTATTATACCAATTGGAATGTCAATATATCAACACCATGCAATAGATTATCACTGGATAGAACAAACACAACCAACAAAAAACAACAAAATAAAAACAAAAACTTTTGATTTACTGGAAAACTCGCAACAGCTAGCCAAATGAGCATTTTGGGTGAAATGTCATGACTGTAATTGACAAATGATCACAAGGGGGTAAATTAGACTAGGTTGTTATAGTTGATCGGTTCAAACAAAAAAAAAAAAGTTAATAAACAGCTCTCATGAGGAGTCGAATTTGAAACCTTAATGAGAAAATATAAAGCTAAACTAGGAAAAGTTGGTCAAAACATCCATTATTTTTATCTCAAATTCATATAATATTAAAAGAATTTTTTTAAAAAAAATGTTTTCTTAATTTCTTATCCAAGATTCTGATCTTGTGGTGCTGTGTGATTGGGAATTCAAGATATATTTTATATACATATATGCAAAAGCTAGCTAGCTACTTTCTACCCAAATGCTCAAAGAATCTAATAAGTAAACCCATCCTTAAATTCCATGTAAGTATGAATGAAATTCTACATCTTTGAAACAATATCCTCTTCGCCCCATCTTTCGATTAAAAGTTCAACTTAGATCCTCTAAATTATGTTAGAATATCTTTAAAAATCGATACGAAACACGTCAATAAATTCGTCGTCCCATTTTTTGAGTAAAAGTTCAACTTAAATCTTATAAATTATGTTAAAATATCTTTAAAAATCGATACGAAACACGTCAATGAATCCGTCGTTCCATCTTTTGACTAAAAGTTCAACTTAGATCCTATAAATTATGTTAGAATATCTTTAAAAATCGATACGAAACACATCGATAAATCTGTAATTGCCATGAATTATAATATCTTTGACATTTTGTTGTAATGCCTAAAAAGATAATTGGCTTTGAGGCAACTTAGAAAAGAAAAAGGGAACAAAAAGAGTTTCCACAAAAAAGCAGATGGAAGCAAGAACTCCACTAAAAGAGAATGATAGAGAAAATGTATAAAGAACCACATCTCACATCTGACATTATTATTTGCCTTTTGACAATCTGAGGAAAAAAGTTAAAGGCACATAGTGTCACCTTTGTACAAGAATCAATACATTTATGCACATTCAATTCAAAACACCAAACCCCATATCATGAATTGTTGGATTACTCGCATGGATAGCTCAGTTGGTCACAGAGATCGAGTCTCACCCTTAGCAGTGTGGGAACAACCTCTCAAAGTGAGGGGTTCATGTCTCTGTATTCAGAAGAGTTACCATGATTTACATCCTCTCAAATGCTTTGTCATGTCGGGACGTGAGGGGACCTTAGGATTGGGAATTTGGAGTTGGAAATATCCTCCTAGATGCTTTGTCGGGTCGGGACGTGAGGAAACCTTAAGGTTGGGGATTTGGGTTGGGAATATCCTCCCAAATGCTCTGTCATACCGGGGCATGGAGGGCCCTTGGAGTTGGGGTTGGATATTCAACCTGAGTTCCCATGATCCAAATGCTCTGTTGGGCCGGGGCATGAGGGACCCTCGGGGTTGGAGATTCAATCTTTTGGGAACAATGAATTGTTGCAGATTACAGAAAGATTGAGAATTCCAATTTTAATCCCAAAAATGAAAGTTATTAATGCAAGAAAAAATGTTAAGAGGATATGAAAAGGGCAGAAGATACAAACATTCTTCTTTCCATTACATCTGCAATCTGCATACACATTAACAAGAGCAGAGTTTTTTTGTTTTTCTTTTCCACAACAGAATTTCTTGAAAATTATTTCTAGGAGGGGGTTTAGGACAGAGGGGAGTTATGCTACAAAATCTATAGACTTTCTGCTGCTACCTAAAGGCAATTGTGAAGAACTTTTTCGGGTTTTCCAGCACGAACAAAAAAAAAAAAAAAAAGAATGAGCCTTACTCTCGCCCACGGGAGCCTGTCTAACCGGGCCTGTTCCTCTTGTGGCAGCCGCCCTTTCCATCCGACGACCTCAAGGCGGCACCACCACTGGAGTCACCTTCCGACGAAGCATCCATGGTTTTCGAGAAGGAGGTCGAGAGGCCAGCGTAGAGATCCACAACCTTTCTGATATTATTGTTGAGCTCCTTAATCAGACCGACGTTTCTGTTCAAGTTATCGGGGGACTTGGACTCATGGTTCTGGTTAATCTCACTGATTAGCAGCCTGTTGTGATCCAAAATGGTCTGAACTTGCACAAAGCTCTTCTGAAATGTCTGCAAAACCTTCCCATCTATCATCTGTGCCCCAGAAAATGTGTCCCCATCCATTTCTTGACCACTCAAAACTACTCCTACAACAATGAAAAAGATGATATATTCCAGTACTGATCAGAATTCAGAAACAAATTCATCTAAAAACGAAGAATCAATCGATTTCGAGACAAGGCAAAAACCCCCCACAAACATCATTGTCTAGAAGGCAATAACAAAAGACACAGACAAAAACATGATAAGGTTCTTGAATAGTTTAAAGTACATTAGAGACAACACTGCAAGATACATGATAGATCTTGACCCAAAGCTATAACACACAAATTTTGAGCTTCTATGCAATTATTAATGTAAAAAACTTTAATTTTAAGTATTATTATTGGGGCTATAATTAATATGGTTATTTGAGGTACTATGAGATTTTAAAAAGCAAATCCCATTTTCCATAAAAGGGAACCTTTATTGTTGTACCATATATACCAAAGCCCAGTCTCAAAAGACCCAGAAATCACCAGTCACTTTTGCAGTCCAGATTTGGCCATAACTCTCACATTGGTATCCATTCAACAAACACCATTATTCCCAACAACTCCAAAAAAAAAAATCTTTTTTTCTTTTTTTTTTTTTTAATTGGAAAAATCACAATACAAGAAACCATTTGCATTATTTTCAAAAGAGGACCACATGAGAAATCCCATTGGAAAAAAATTGCAAAATTTTGAAGTATTATTCCTGTTGAAGCATAAATTCTTGAACCAGACCCACATAAATGGGGAAAACATCCCAGAAAAGCCAACTGTTATTACAACCCAAAAAAGCACAAAAAATACTTTCTTTAAATTTATTTATTTTTCTAAAGAAAAAGATGATATAGGATATCAAAATTATATTACCAATGACCCAAAAAAATACAAAATTTAAATGATTATTCCTTGCAGAAACATAGATTCTTGAAACGGACCCAGAATGAAGGGGAAACATCCCAGAAAAGCCTGTAATTATTACCAACAAAAAACAGTAAAACAATACTAAAATAACTAAAAACAAGAATTGAAGTGACAAAAATTATTTTTAAAAATCTTATAAAGAAAGATGCAAACTTGGAAGCTCATCAAAATCAAAACTTTCAGAGCTTAAGAGAGACCAAGAAACAAGCACACACCCACTGGGAACTGATAAAAGCTCTGAGAACAAAACCCAGAAATCATACATAATACATACACACACACACATATATATATATATATATACTTTTACCATAGAAGCATTCACGCCCGATAAAAGCGCTCATATATGTATATATGTATATACGAATACAATATAGCATAGAAACAAACACAGAGACATACACGCATATTTAAGTGAAGTTATACGAAGGGGTACCTTGAAAATCAGGGAGCATTATTGTGAATGAGAGAGACAGAGATTGAAGGACCAGAAATGATCGGCGATTGAATCGAATCTACGGATGAGAGAGAGAGAGAGACGGAGAGAGAGAATATGTAGATTTGACACTCCCGCCCCGACCCAACCTCTATGTATATATGTATATATATGTCATATGTCAAAATATTCTTGGGTTTCTCTATGTATATATATGTCAAAATATTTAGTTTAAGTTTTCTTTTAAAGAATAACGTGTATATCTTCGATACTATATATATCTACTATACTAATAAGAGCATCCACAATAGTTGGGGAGAATGGGGGATAATGTAATAGTGATTAGGAGAGAGAACGTGGGAAGAGGAGGAAAAAAAACAAAAAAATTAAAATCAAAAATTAAAAAACAAAAAATAAAAATAAAAAAATAAAAGGGTCAGGCGCCTGACGCGCCCGTGTGGGCGGGTTGCTGTGCGCGAAACGCGCATAGCAACCCCTTTTTCTTTTCTTTCTTTTTCTTCTTTTTCTGTCGGATCTCATTTTTTGCAGAGGCATTCTTCCCCAAATAAATCTTTCCTACATTAGCTTTGAACTTGAACAAGAAGATTTCATCTGACATGCTCCCCACATTATCCCCTTAGTGTGGATGCTCTAAGAGTCAATTGAAATAAATTGTTTAAATTGTTTTGATTGTAAGAAATTCAACATTCAATTATCTATGCATAATTCACCTCTGTAACCCGCATGAGCAGCTCAACTGGTCACAGAGGTGAAACTTTGGAAGAATGATCAGGGATCAAGTCTCACCAGTGGCAGCAATCTCTCAGAGTGAGGGGGTTCCTTATGCGTAATGACCACAGGTCACAAGATCAAACCCTGAAAAAAAAAAAAAAAAAAAAAAGCACTAAGTATTATCTCATTTGTGCAATGTGTATGAAAAATAAGTTAATTGAATAAATATGAAAAATAATAACATTATTATTATTTCCTAACATCCCTAACTAAAATAGGCTTTAAGATTTTTTATTATTTTATTTTATTTTTCTTACTTTTGTCTTATAGAGACTATTTGATAGTCAAAAAGTATAAATTTCTTGGGAATTTTAAAGTTAAAAAGTAATTATCATATTTTGTGACATTTTGACTGCAAATATTTTGGATAACGGATAAGGTGATTTTTTGAATAATAATAATAATAATAATAATAATAATAATAATAATAACAAAAGTTATTTTAAAATGAGTAATGTGCATTCTTTTTTTTTGAATGCTAAGCCAATAACGCCTCCACTGAGACACGAACTCACAACCTTCCAAATGGAAGTCCAACCCAAGTACCATTAAACCACATAATCCTAGTGAGTAATATGTATTCAAAAAAAAAAAAGTAATGTTATACACTCATTTTATATTTTATGTCTTTATTTCTCCTCCTAAGATGACATTATTGAATTGGTTATTTCAGTGTTTAATTAAAAACATGTAAGTCAGTTAATTTATGACACTCAATAATTATAAATTAAATCATAGAAAAAAATTTAGACGGGATAGCGTTTTCATTTTAAAATAATTAAGAATGTGTAAATTTTATCTAATTACTTATTTGTATTTTTTTTCTATGTTATTCGTATGTGGTAATAAGGACATATAGAGGTTTTTTTTTTTTTTTTTTTTTTTTTTTTTTTTTTTTTTTTTAAGTCTTGAAAAGTTTAGAGTAAGCAATGGTTTAAAATAATGTTTCAAGTAATTTATTTGTTGCGGAGTACCTTTTGGTCTGATGGCATCATTGTTACCATTTCAAACGGAAAGTCATAGGTTTGATATGTTAGATTGTAGTCAAAAAAAAAAAAAAGTAATTTATTTGTTATATTTTTACTATAACACTAGATATAATAACTATTTTTAAACACTTTTTCAAAAATTTAATTGGCGAAAAAAGTATCAACTAACTTCTAAATTCAATTTTTAATTCACTTAAATTTTATAGTACCATACATAATAATATTGTGAATCTATTTTGGCACTCTTGGCCTTTATGTAACTAATAAAGCACATTGTTTAAATTTACAAAATATATAATATCATAAAATAATCCATTATTTAAAAAAATTCCTTTATCCACACACACATTATTATAACATTTATCTTTTTATTATATGGATTAATAGGAGAATGGTTATGTGAAAATAGTTGTTATTGTATTAAAAAAAAAAAAATTTGTTCATTGCAAAAAATGGATGGATGCATATTTAGTCTAAAATAACGCAATAAAAACATGCCTATTTATTCCAAAATGATGCTAAGGGTGAAATGGGAATTTAGCGTTATAATATTACAAATTCTGGGCATTTCAAGAATGGCTGAAGCTAATAGTACTGTAGTAGACAGCATTAAGCCTGACATTGAAAATTTTCGAACTACTTTTTGTATGAAAAAGAGAATTGTAAATTCGCAATTGTACCCCACAAAGTGCCTGGTTGACAGAAGGAGACATGTTCGATCAATTGTTCACGATTATATTGGACAAGGAAGTAAAATACAGTATAATCGTGGAAAACATTTTTGTCTTATATATATATATATATATATATATATATATATATATATATATATATATATATATTAATTGCAATATCATTTTGTGGACTATGTTTGCATGTGTAAGGAGGATATGTTATCTTTGCTTGTTGGTTTCTAGTCTTTCCACATCAAGATAGCGGGGCCTATCCATGTGTGATGCAGAAGATGTAATGTTAGAGTTGGACTCTTGTGTGGTGTTAGGGGATTCGGTTCTAGTTGAGTTAATCGAGTAATAAATTTGTAAGGTCATAAGTTTGAATCTTAGCCAAATAGAAGTTAGTTATTGACCTCTTAGTTGAGTCGGTTAGTCAAGGCTTATCGATTAAAGCATTGGGAATGGATTTCACCCACTGTGTACCTTTGAGTATTATACTTGATAAGGAATATACCTCGAACTACGTATCCTTTAATTTTATATTGGGGACCGAGTTGGATATGAGTCGCATGGAGCCTAGGATGACCTCTCGATCTGAATCGACCAGGATACCGTTTCTGATCGACTCGACATATGGTCAAATTGCTCTATGACAAAATGAGCATATGCCTTCATCTTCCTATGTTCGGTCCTGACCTGCAAGCTACGTGGATAAGAACCCAACCTGAAAGATTAGCAGCCCTGTGGCGTGATGAGCATATCCCTTAACCTTCCCGTGCTCGGTCTCGGCCTACTTGCTCGTCTAAAAACCCCGAGCACGTATACTTTGCACTCAAACTGATCTCCGTGAGCAATTGGCTAGTTAGATATATTCTTACATGTGTGCACTTCTCCACAGCCTACCGAATTACCGAGTGCATGGAGGACACATGGCGCACATGCCGGCCTCTCGGCATGTGTCCCATCGAATTCCCTATAATACCCCATGAGACGGCGGTAGAGGGGACTTTTTTGGGCAATTTCTCTATAGCTTACTTAGCTTGGGAATCTCTGGCCTCACGCCGAATACCTTAAACCAACAAGCGGTCCACATAAGGACCTAAACCCCGCCCGGTCTCGTATTTCATAAATACTCATAGTAATGTCGTACATCAATACTGATTAAGTAGTAAAATTTGAATTGTTGATTTGGAATGAAGTATAATTCTGAAATGGTATGTGTTGGAGTATAAGTTAAGGTGGACATTGAATTTGAGTCGGGGTTAAATTTGTGCCTAAAATTTGTTACTCCTCTTGTAAGCTATGTAATGGAGAATGATTGGTGGAAGATTAAATGGCTAAATTAGTATTTTGTTGTAAAAATGTGGTGATAATTGTTACACAAGTTTAATGAAATAAAATTGTACATTCACTATTAGTTATAATGTTTTCTACATAGTGGTAAGTGCTTTGGTATTCGAAGTGTGATGTGCAACAAAATATGGCATAGACTCTTAACAAACAACTTTTTGAATTTTTTCACTGCAAATTGTAACTTATGACTGTGATAAGTGTTTTGGTTTTGATAGATAGTGATGATCATGCAATTGATGGGTTGCATTAATAATTGATTTTTTTCTTTAAATACCAATAAGCCATATAAAAGTAAGTAAAAACTTTGAATAATTAGAAGTAAGAAAGAAATTGAAATTTTTATTTTTATTTTTCTTTATTTTAGAGGGAAAGGATAAGATTGGGCAAGAAAATATGTAAAGTCTTGTTTGTGTGGTCCTGATTTGAAATGATGATCCATTCATTGAGATTGGATCATGCATCTCTTTAAACACTATAGTAATGTAATGGGCACACCAACCAACAAGCATAAATTTGTAATTAAAACTAGGGGCTGTGGAGATCGCCTACAACGTATATTTCATTAATGAAAAACCACTCTCTAACAATATTTAATCGTGATAAATTTATATAATATAACTTGGTAATGGGTGGGCAGTGGTGTAGTATAATTTTATTAATAAATTGTCAAAATTTTATTAAGGTGGTTAATGGTGAATGGGTCGAGTATGTCACACATAATTTTTTTAAGACGATTCATTTTTTATATGTAGTTTGTGAGTTATATTATATATAAAGATCTTTGATAAATTAGCAGTTAGCTGATAGTTGATTACATGCAAAATGACTTTTGATAGAAAAAATTGCTTTAAGCATCTTTTTGAATTTTAGCATTTTGGAGCAATAAGCTGTCACAAAAAGCTAATTAATCAAACAGTTAAGCTAATAGTAGTCAAATAAGTCAAAATTGGTTGATAAACTAATTATTTTTTCCATAAAGGTCGAATCTCCAACCCCAAAGGCCCACGCCCCGACCAAACAGAGTATCTGGCCAGGAGGATGAAAATTATGGTAACTCAGCTGAGACAAATTTTTATGTGGACCATGGTCCGAAACGGTGTCGTTTCTTTTAATGAAAAGAAACAACACTTGTTCCGCGTAATTAGTTCATTTGCATAACGTATTCAATTGCATTTTATATACATTGTTGTTTCATTTTAGTACAACTAAAGTTTCATTTTGTTTCAACTATAGTTTCATTCGACATTATACATACAATAGTCAAAACTAAAGTATCATTTCAATTCAACTATAGTTCTATTTGACAATATACACTCAATGTGTAAGAAATGTTATTCAG